TTTCCGAAGGGTGCGCCAAATTTCCTAGGAAATATGGCCCAGGGGGGCCAAATTTCCGAGGAAATTTGGCCCGGGGGAGGCAAATTTTCGGGGGGGGCCAAATTTCCTGTGACACCGGCCACTCTGTGTAATTTTATGTCGGCAAAGTTAATAAATATAAATATTGCGCAATAATTGGCCAATAAGAAGCTCCTGTAGCCGGGATGACGTCAAACTCACGTGTGTAGGTGCAATTTGACCTTGCGAACCAATTTCTGGCCTTTGCAGGGTCATACGATACAAGCTTCGAATTGTTTTGACGATTTTCAGTCGTATTTCCGGTTGGGATTAACTCACTTCGAGCTCACAGTTGGGCAAGAAATGGAAATATATTGATAAATGACACAGATTTGAAGATACAGGCTTGCAAATAACACTCTAAGTAATGTTTTTAATGGGGATTTTAACAAGACTATTACAAAGACGATATGTTCGAAGGGGCCGAAGTTATTTTCGGCGAAATGTACGGCTAGTCTATATTTTTGTTCAGACAATTGCGTAATTTGATACAATGTGATCGTGTTTGACTTCAAAGGCCCATAAATCGCTACAATGTTGATAATGACTATAACTATAGGGAGGAATTAGTCGAATCTTTTACTTCTGAATCGAATGGTGGCATTTCTATCTTCATACCATGCACTGAACCGAAGATATTAAATTTCTTGCAATCGTTCAGTGCTAATCGACGATACTGGGATGTTGTGCAAAGGAGTTTTAAGAAAATCTTGCCATGGTTCGTCCATAAAAATTTATAACTCAGATCCTTTCTCAAATCCAAGCACCTACTGAAGAGATCTTTCAATTACGTCTTCTTAAACTTTCGACGTTATGTATATTTTATTTATCGATAATATTGTTGAGCCAATATCTGCAGTAGTTTTATCTTGGAAATTTCTCCTACTGGCGTAAAAGAAATCTCTGGTTGCACGCTTAACAAATTTTACAAATTACAATTATTGCTGGTGGTGAATTTGGGTTTGTTGCTTTTAGGCGATGACTGACTGAAATATCTTCTTTTTTAAGATCGGCATTGACTGGTTTTCCGACGGAGCAAACTATGTCATCAGTATTCTCGTTTTGAGCGACGGAAATACCCCGTACTTCTAAGCAATCACGTCGGCCATATTGTTCGTGGTCGTTTACGGATCCTGTAAGCTGTTCGACTTGATTTTGTAAGGATAATCTTTAAATTCCAAGAGGCAAGCCGATGAGATTACGCATACTATATGCTTGACTCTGAGATCAAAACTCGCTTATACAATTCTGTAACATTCTTCAGTTCTAATTTTGCAAGCACAAAAATTAAAAACGCCATACCAGTAAAAGCCTGACACCAGAACTACAACATACATATTGCTTTGACATAGTATCTATGCTCAATAGCAAACGAATCTAAACACATTGAGAGTGCAGCCTGTGCAGTCTACACTCTACAGACCTTTTTCCGTCTATTAAGATTACAAACTACATCCGCTCTTTAATCTTCATTATGTTTAATCATTTTATATCTGTCTTCAAATATTTCCCCACTAGTTTAAAGTCCTAAGATCCCAATTTAATTCCATATTGTATCCAAAGTTGATGTCGCTTAAAATTTGTGTAGATAGAATTGCCTTAGCAAGTTGTTGTAGTTTTAGCCTATAATCTACAGTTATATCGAACTTTACGTGTACTACAGTTCTTGGAACTAAAATTCTAGCAAATCATATGTCGAGGAAAACGTCTGCTTACAATCACTGTATAGAAGACAATACTGCAAAAATCGTGGCAAATAAAATTTCATCCACAAACAAACAGTCGTAACAAATAAGAGAAAAAATATAACTTTATGGAAGATATAAAGTGAAGTCTTACCGTATTAAACCGACACAAACCTCAGACTAAGCTTAATTTGTATGAACAAAGAGATCTGATTTTATATCATCGAAAATGTCACTTTATATCTGTGTAGAGTAATAATAAATATAAGATACAAACCTTGTGCTGAAGGTTCTCGTTTACGGCAAACGTCAAACCGCTAACGAAGTTTTTGATTTTACAAGTCTATTATAACAGCTTTTACACCAGTTTTGAAATATAAACCATTATTAAACTTGTGCTCTTTGGCAAAGATTTAAAAGAAAGCAAATTAACCACTAGTCACGTATTCGCGAAAGCAGTGAATTATGATTTGGCGTTTGAAGTTTACGTTTGGCGTATAAATTTCATGCTTTAACGACTATACAAGCCCTCATAGCAGTTCAAGCATGAAATTTATACGCCAAACGTAAACTTCAAACGCCAAATCATAATTTACTGCTTTCGCGAATACGTGGCTAGTGGTTAATTTGCTTTCTTATAAATCATTGCTAAAGAGCACAAGTTTAATAATTGTTTATATTTCAAAACTGGTGTAAAAGCTGTTATAATAGGCTTGTAAAATCAAAAACTTCGTTAGCGGTTTGACGTTTGCCGTAAACGTGAATCTAAAACTCTCTACCCTTCGATACTGGGATAATATGAATTAAGGCCCATTTCTACTCGGAAAAATTTTCCATGGACAGAAAATTTTCCAAAAATGTCATTGCTAAGGAACATTTCCACTCAGGAAAATGTTCCGAGGAAAGAGAAATTTGTAAAATGTGATTCGCTGACGCAAATTTTCTATCGGAAAGCAATTTTGAAGTTGAAAATTTTCAACTTTTAACAATATTTTCGGAAAATTTTCTGTCCGTGGAAATTTTTTTTGAGTGGAAATGGGCCCTTACACTGGTGTATTGATTAAATTTCTTCTCTTGTGCCCAAATAAGGCAATCACCACAGGAAGAGTGCTTCAATAAAAACAAGCCCACATTCAACAGAGTACTGATAAATATGGGTGATAAACAATATTGTTCTTGTTATGAGTTATTTTATTCCATGGTACTATGCAAGAGCAAAACCTTAACGTCAGATTTACCCAAATTTCATCATTAAGTCATTTATTATCAGTGTCACATAAGCTCACAAACACTCTTTAAAGTGACGAAATGCTTACCCAGTGCAAATTACACATAACGTAATTATTTACCTATTGTCATACTCAGTCCCCGTTTACAGGGCAAAAAGATTTCGGATTCGTCACAAATCCATGATGTTTTGATATCGGTTCGTCTTGCCGTTTACATTAAAGAGCATGAATCCGTTACAAAATTACACAAATAAAGTATAAATTCGAAACTTTGGAATCCGGAAAAGTTTGTGGGATCTTTGTGGGATCCGCGAAAGTGTTAATCCGAAAGCAACCTTTCGTTCAAAGGCTTTCTAAAAAGAATCAGAATGAATTTGCTTCCTCGTACGTTTTTCAAATTTATTGCTATTAGTTTCAACAGCCAAATATGGTCTAAGATCACAGAATTATGCGTCAAAATTTTGCCTCATTGCCAATCGCCGTGTCAAGTTGGGTAGTGTAAACACCTCATGAAACCTTATATACTAAAAAACAACGAATCCGCCAAGTTTTATGAATCCGGAATCTCTTGCCCTAGTCAAAACGGGATCTCAGGCTATAAATTCTCTGGAAAGACAAGTCACAACAACAAACACAGCCATTATCACAAGCGAGTTCGGGTATTTAGCTTCTTGAAATTAGGTGAGAGACGTTTTGGAGTACCATGCACGTTAAAGTCTGTCCTATCTCGAGTCTATATGCTTGATAATTTTGGAGTGTAAAAGCCCGATCAAGACTAGATCAAATGTTCACTGAAACCATACTGAAACACAGCAATCATTACAAGTGATTTGAAAAATTTTATCTTCTAGGAAGCGAAATGCTTCTAAGAAACCCACATTAAGGACTATCTTTAAATTCCAAGAAGGCAAGCCGATGAGAAGACACATATTGTGTGCTTGACTCTGAGATCTAAACTCGCTTATCGAATTCTGTAAGCCTGTAACATTCTTCAGTTATAATCTTGCAAGCACAAGAAACGCCATACCAGTAAAAGCCTGACACGAGAACTACAACATACATATTGCTTTGACAGAGTATCTATGCTTAATAGCAAACGAATCTAAACATATTGAGAGCGCAGCTTGTGCAGTTTCCAGACTTTTTACCGCCCAATAAGATTACACGGAAGTTGGCATGGAAAACAACAAACTACATCCGCTCTTCATAATCTTCATTATATTTAATCATTTTATATCTGTCTGCAAGATATTTCCTCACTAGTTTAAAGTCCTACGATCCTAATTTAATTGCATATTGTATCCAAAGTTAATGTCACTTAAAATTTGTATAGATAGAATCGCCTTAGCAAATTGTCGTCGTTTTAGCCTATAATCTACAGTAATATCGAACTTTATGTGCACTGAAGTTCTTGAACTAAAATTGTAGCAAATCATATGTCGAGGAAAACGCCTGCCTACAATCACTGTATAGAAGACAATACTGCAAAATTCATTCCAAATAAAATTTCATCCACAAACAAACAGTCGGAACAAATAAGAGAAAAAATATAACTTTAGGGCAGAAATAATGCGAAATCTTATCGTATTAAACCGACAGAAAATTCAGCACTAAGATTAATTACTTAATTTATATGAACAAAGAGAACTGATTTTATATCATCAAAAATATCACGAGCTATAATTATTGTGTGTAGAGTAATAATAAATATAAGATACAAACCTTGTGCTGAAAGTTCTCGCAATTAAGAAAATCTAGCTCTCACTACCTCCTTCTGTTATCAGTACAGTACGTTGACTGCTTTGAACCTTTGACGCACATTTAACTTGAAACCCTAAAATATAAACCCAATATCCGGTCACCTGAAATTAAAGTAGCGAAGTATTTTAATATCTAGGAGCAGCCCTTCCATGCTGTGATAAAAGTGTCACATAGCTGATGATGCATTTGGCACCCAGGGCCTTAGCTAGAGTGTTAATTCTTGGGGGGGGAGGGGGAGTTTATTCATATATTGATATTCTGCCTGACTGATTACAGTTGAAACTAGAGGGCATTCAGAGACTGCATACCTCCGCCCGTTACTCGGAAGTGAAACGCAACCTTGGAATTTCCCAAGAAATCCACTTTATAATTCTTAAGCATAAAAGATTTCAGGCCCCCGCGAATTGAAATCGAATTGCTAATAGAACATATTACTGTTGTTGTACTGTACAGTACTTTTAAAATAAAAACTTATTAAGTGTCATTTAAATAAATAGAAATATTTCCCACGAAATATGGATTTTTATGTCACACCTGAACTAATTAGATAAGTGAGTAACAATTTAATTATATTTAATGTTAATCCCTGGCGCGCCTGTTGAAGAGGGAGGAAATTTAGAGCACTTGAAACTACGTACCAGCTGGGCCAAGATCAAGGTCGATCTCTTGGTATTAAACCAAGATAACTTAGATATTTTGCAAGTTTCCAATATCAGTGGTCAAGTGAAGAACTCAGAATTTTTATCTTCAACGTCATTTTGGACCTATTTTCAGGTTAGCGATACATTTCTTTTTTTACACAATCATTCTTTCACCTATTGTCTTCTATTATGGCTTCATCCAACCCAAAGGTACTGGTATTTGGTCATTCCTTTGTGAAGCGTATGCATCGGGATTTAAGATCCAAATTCGATGTTCGCGCTGCCCTAAATTTTAACATGCACAATGTAACTATCAAACTGCATGGTGTTGGGGGGAGGACTGTTGACAAATTAGTTCAATTTGATTTCAACAGGGTTACCCAGTTTCAGCCTAACATTGTTATTTTAGAGGTTGGGACAAATGACTTAACCTTGGGAAAACCCGAAACTGTGGGATCGAGAATTGACGATCTAGTGCGCATGTTGCTCGGGGTTCCATCCGTCAGAGTTGTCGGCGTGTGTTTGGTAACCAATCGGGCCTCTTCTCCAAAATTTAATGAGAAGGTTGCGATCTTGAACCAGTACCCTACGGTTGTGTTAGAAGATAAGCACAATGTCTTCTGTTGGAGACATAAAGGCTTTACTCAGCCAACCATTTCGCCTTTTCTGCCTGATGGCGTCCATTACACCCGCAGAGCTCAATATACTTTGTATAGAAGTTATCGGGGCGCCATCCTCAAGGCCATTCAGTTTCTTTCACGCTGTGCTTAGCACACAGGTGGTCGCATTTTTATTTGATTTTCTTATTCGCATTTATATACCAGTACTTGTTTATGTTAAAATACAACTATCTCACCCTTCGTGGTGAGTCGAGGCTTCGCCCTCAATATTTGTTGTTATACGGATCGCACTTCGCTGCGATCCCTGTTGAGGCTTCGCCCTCTAAAATTTTTTTTTATTTTAAAACCTCTCGCTTCGTCGAGAATTTGTCAGAGGCTTCGCCCTCGTTTAATTATTTCAAAACCTCTCGCTTCGTCGAGATTTTGTTAGAGGCTTCACCCTCACTTAATGAAAA